CGACTAGAAGTTGGTGCGGTTGCGTGCTATTAATCAGTAATTTCTTTTGTCATTCCAAGAATTGCACTAATCCCCACTTTGCCACAGGGTAAAAAAAAAGTCTGTAATAAGTAGGTCTTTAAAGTTAAAAGCAACTTAGACGGCGCTGCCAAAGCCCAAATTTATACTAAAGGTTTTTCTCAAGTATATGGAGTAGTTTATCTGGAAACCTATAGTCCCGTTTCGAAGTTAAAGACTGTAAGACTTTTCTTCTGTTTGGTTACCTCTATGGGGATGGAGGTAATATAGGAATGGAGCATTCACAATCCCATTATCAGTGGGAGAAATTTATATGGAAGTTCCGCAAGGGGTGGAACTTGACTAGCAATATAATTGTGCTAGATTGCCAAAACCATTTCTGGGTTAAAACAATTCAGTTTTATATTGAATGTAACCATGCACAATGACTTGGTTCAGTTTGATTTTCGTCAATGTCATAGAGCTTCTTCTTTTTACATAATGAAAAAAAAATACAAGGTGAACTTATTTTGCTAATATTATATGTTGATGACTGTTTAGTTGGCCTGTAAGAACAAAGTCTTTAAAGATGAAGTAATTATATTTTACTTGAGCTCTAAACAAGACATTATACATAAGAAAGTATCCTGGGTTGTAGGATTAAACGTTGTTCAAAATAATGATGGAGTTATTTATAATCAAGAAAAATATGTTAAGGACGTCATAGCAAGATATAATATGAATGACGCAAAGACACTTAGAAACATTGGCTTCATCTAAGAAGACATGTCAAGAGAAGCGATAGCCGATGTACCGTACAGAGAGCTAATCGGCTCTTTACTATACTTAGCAACTGTAACTAGACATGACATATCGTTCGTTACGGAAAAATTAGCTAGAAAGGCCAGCAGACCGTCTAAGCCTGAGTGCCTGTCAGCCAAAACATAGTGAGATATTTAATTGGTACTAAGCATTATAATATTTATTATAAGAAGCCGTGAAGTTTAACCTAAAGGATACAGCGATAGTGATTATGGTGATTGCCAGCAAACTATCACGGTCTACCTCTCTCTGCTCAAGGTGCACCGGTTACTTGGCAGTCAGTTTTACAAAAGACTACAACTCTGTCTACAATGAAAGCAGGGCTTATGGCCACCCGTGAAACCGCTATAAAGGACATATGATTGAAGCCCTTATCAGTAGAGGTCGTAGGATTAGATAGCGCTGTGCCAATCTTTGTGGATTATCAACCTGCAATTCGGGTTTGAAATAACCCAGTGCATCATGAAAAAATAAAACATCCGTTAATATCGCATTCGTGAAGAGCTTAGAGTTAGGGCCGTTTAGCTTAACTATGTTCCCGCAAAATGTATTCTCTTCAACGTATTAAACATGGTGATTCCTTCAAGCAAGCTTTCAACTTGTGTATCTAAATTGTTCTATAATAGTTAGGAGTGTGTGTATGTGTTAGATAATAACTACCATAAAAGAATAATTGATACCAGAATATCCTTTCAGTAATGATTACTCTTGTGTCCAGAGTCAAGCACAATCAGGAATATATTTTCTCGGAAACCTCTAAAATTCATCTCATTTTACCTCTTCCTCTTGTTCACGTGTTTTTCCTAATTTTATTTTGAGACCATTTAGCTGATGTATTTTTAAATTATTTGACTGATCAACATAAGATACGGGACAAGAGGCCTTACAGAAAATGGAATGACTCTCCACATCTCACCCAGAGAGCCACACCAAAAAGGTGGTTCAGGACCCTTGAGGGTGGCTTATATACATTTACAAAATAATATATAATTTCGAATGCCCAAGTGACTTTATCTGCTATCGGCAGTTTATAACGATACCAATACCAACTCTAACTGCGCACATGCAATAATTTAGAAAGTTTAAAAATTGGACAAAATCAACGACCGTAAAACCAGGTTTCAACGAAGGTAGAATGGAACAAAGCAAGGAAACTTAAACAAGAATACTAAGGTTGTACGAAGAAAAAAAACTGGAATCTTAGAAGGACAGAACTTAAAATACACTGCGCATTATTACAAAGGATATAAAAAAATTTACAAAAGATCCTGTAAAAGTGGCCAATTTTTTTTTTTATTACCAGTTTTATGATAAAAAGGGTGAGGCTGAATGCTGAACTAAAGCATATCTTAAGCCGAGGAAAAGAAATAATCAATCTCTTAGTAATGACTAATAAATAGGTGAAGCTTAATTTTGAAAGCCGAGATGCTGAAGGCGGGTTACGGCATTGTAGCAGATTAGACTCTAAAGCGCTACTTTGAGCTCTAAAAAAAAAACAGAAATCATTATATTAAAAATTAGTATATATTACTTCGATAAAAATTCAAACAACGCTGTATTGAAAGAAATTATTGTCTTTAAGAGAGTTATAATTATAATTCAAGTGCTTTTGAGGCCAAGAGCTCTAGAGTTGCTTCACGGTTTTAAAAAATATAGTTTTTTATAAAAAAGGTCAGGAATTATAAGATCTTTAGCAAACAATTTATACTCAGAGTTATTAACATATATTATTATATCAATAAGTTAACTTCTGATTGTTTTAACTCAGGTTTAAAAGGATGCTGTGTATCATTATAATAACACCAGGATAGCCCACAATATCAAGACCACAAAAAAATAAATATATCTAAATGATATTACTTTACTGTTTCTATATTGAAAAAAAAAATTATAAACTAATTTTAATAGATTATTTATAATTTATAAAAAAGGTATATATACGTACGATATTTAAAGTTTTTTTTAAAATAATTATTTTACTTTCTGCTGCATTTTTTTTACTATATAATCACAATTTTTTATAATTATATCGTGCTATGGTACCGCTTTTCTAGCAAGAGCAGTAGTAAACATTCTATCTAAATACCCTGATTTTACTCATAGAGCGTAATGGATTTTTTTTCTAATTAACTTCTTTCGCATTCATTAACCAGCTAACTGAATTCTAGCAAAAAAGGTAGTTTGGCAGTGTCACTTTTGTGTTAAAGTATAGTCAAATTTATTTTACAATTAATACGGCTTTAAAATTAATAACTCATTAATTATAAATATTCAGTTACCTTAATATTTCGCAAGTGAAGAAGAATTGCTGTACGCTCTCATTCAATTTCGAAAAATTTGAGTATAATTAATTAGACGTAATATTATTCCAAGTTAAATCTCTTTTATAAAAAAGGTCTTTGATATACTTGAAAATTTTAATGGCTACTTTTATCATGTTATATCCTGCAATATCGGAAACTTGTTATCCTTTACTACAACACTCTAAGTAAAAAATATATAAAATAGAACAATATTGAATGTAATCCATAATATGAAAAAAATTAAGTGACCTTAAGAAGTTTTCAATTAATATATAGAATCTTTTTCGATGAGAAAATTAGAAAAGCTTTTATATACCTGCAAACAAGAAATATAGCTTTAGCAGTCGCACAAAACTGAGACTATGATATTAGCAATTTATATAATTGTATTTATATATAAAAATTTCTATTTATAATAATTAACTGTATCAATGCTACGCAACCCACTTTTATTTAATATTATCGTCATACTATAATATATATAATATATATATAAATACAAAAAGGAAAGTTAACTTAGCTAAAAAACTAACAATTTTTGGAGCACAGCTTTTGGAAGTAATATTTGACTATTTAAGTAAATTTAGTAAACAATCGAGAATAGATTAGAATCCAACATTTATATAATAGGGAAGCAAAAAAGTTAAATAATTCCTTTCGTATGTATCCGAAATGAACATAAAAGGAATAAGGGCAATATTGTCTAGGTTGATAATTTTTGTATTTATATTTTTCCTAGTATTCCGGAATATTCTTCGTGTACTAAAGGTTTAGCATGTTCGGGATACTTTATAATCATTCAGGATGTTAGTATGTATCCTGTCTACAGTCTCTTCACATCTGCCTGCAATTTGTACAGGATCTTCTATTGGCTACGGTTGAACGCATCTCCAACATATAGTAAAAAAAAGAGTTTAAATAAGTATAATAAAAATATGATTTTTTTATTAATAGTTTTCATTTATTTATATAGATAATACTTTTCTATAAAAACTAAGTTTCTTAGTCTAGTCCGCAAGAATTAAAATTTGGTAAAGTAAAAATTATTCTAAATGGAAAATCCTTGATTGTGATGAATTAATTCGAGCAAAAAAAATTACAAATTAGGAATGTGCATTCAAAAGCTAAGCTTTTTGAAATGAAGTTGATTTTATTTAATAGTAAAAAAAAAACCTTAGCATAACTTTTTCTAGAAAACGGTTTCGTTCAATATAACACACAGTATCTGCAAACTTTTGAAGAATAAAACCAATTTAAACTTAATACAAATATTATTTATAATAGCCAGAATTACAATTAAAATAGAATTATAAATCCTGGTTTTAATCAACTTAATCATACATGTCGTCAACTTTGAGGAAGCTATACAAAATGGCGTTCCTACTAATCAGTTTACCAGTTTACTCGTTATTTGGTAGGAGAAAATAATTTGGACCGCTTGAGAGCCCTCGTGGTCCACTTTTAATGCTTTTAGAAAGCACAGCAGAAATTATTTGCTATATTATACAATGAATTGCGAAGTTTCAGGTTTATTTGACTTTTTGTTTTATTTTAATTTTTTTTGTAGCACACTATTTGGTAATATAGAAAAAAGAACCGGAGTCCCTGAAATTGATGCTGAAAGTTCTGTTATTAAGCAAGCTAAATGTGGAGGCCAAGATACTTACGAAATTCAATTTACTCCTAATTTTAGAGAAGATTGCACTTTAGGAGAAGCGGAAGAAACTAATCTGAGCGTTAAGAAAAAAGAAACTTCTGTTTATTTTGAAAATATAGAGAATATAAAGACTAATTATTCAAGTTTACAAGAAAGTTCACAATCTAAAATAGAATTTTTCCACGAAGAAACTGAACTTGTAGAAAAATATAAAGCTGATTTAGTTTCTAAAGAAAGTAGAACGGATTTAAAAGAATTTAAAGGTAAGCAAAATTTTTTTCCTGAGACTGGCAATAATGAGAATAGTGGAAAACCCTTAACTGTTCAAGAACTTAAAGATGACGACGATCCAGAAACTCTACAATTGAAACTTGAAAATTTTCCCAAAGTAATTTTAAATTATAAGATTTTAGAAGTAAATTATTACTTAAAATAACTTTTTTACAAGAATGTTCCTAATAAAGAGGTGCGGGTGTGGTGTAGTTACAACAGAATTCAGAGTATTGATGTAGTGAAAAAACTTCCTTGGAGTTTTGCCTTTCTAATATTCGATGTGAGATTTTTTTTAATTTATTTGTCGTATTTTACAGGAAATAAATTTTTTTTTTTAAAAAAAAATATTATTTTTGTGTACTTTTTATAATAAAGTTTTCATTTTTTGCATGTTAATTATTAATGACAAGTTTTTTTAAAAAAAAAATTATTTTTTAAATTTTTTTATTTTGATTTATATTTATATTTCTCGTTTTTATTATTTTAATGATTTTATGTTATTTTAAAGCTTATATTATTAAACCATTTTTATATATATAAATAGTAAATAATAATTTTTTGAATAAATGTTAATAATTTTTGTTTGTTATATTTTTATATTTATTTTTTGTCATTTATTTTTTTGTGCATTAAATATTATTATTTTCAATTTTACTTTAAAACAATTTTCTTATTCGGTTTTTTTAAATTAACTTTTCGAAACGTTTAGAACGAAAAAGATAAACTTTCTGCTTTAGAGAGAATTCCTTCTTTATTTTTTCGTAAGAAAAGACTTCGCGTGAAAAGTGCTAGAAAAAGTGAAGCATTTCAGACGGACTCCTCTAGAAAAATGACTCCGGCTGACCAATTAAACGATAAACTGTGCCCTTATTGGAGGTATTAATAATAATATTATTTTCTTAAAATTTATTCACAATTTTTATTATATATATTATTTTTATTTATTTACTATTATTTTAGTTGTAAAATTACAAAAAAAAATTACTTTTAATAAAAATAATAATAAATATAAAAACAACTTTTTTTTAATAATAAAATAACTTTGAGTGACCGATTAATGATCAACTGCGCGCTTATTGGAGAACTTCCTTCTATTATTATCGTCATTATTCTTTATAATTGTTTTTCTTTTTTATTATAACGTACTATTATAATATTTAACCAGTTATTGGAAAGTACTAAAAACTTCTTTTTTTCTTTTATAATTTTTATTCAGTAAATCTTTTATTATTATTACTATTACTATCTAAAATATTACTACTACTATTTTTGTATATTATTTCATCAAATTTTTTATTCGGTTTATAAATTTTATTATTACTTTTACTATTATTAGTCTTAAATATCTTAATTTTTTTGTATAATTATATTCTTTTTATTATTTATATTCGGTCATTGAAAAATATTACTATTATCGCTATTATTATTTTAAGTATTACTATCGTTTTTATATATTTCGTTATATTTTTTATTCAGTTAATAATTTTTTTAATTATTTTAACTATTATTAGTCTCAAATATTGTAATTTATATATAACTTTTATTATTATTTCTACTATGATTACTCTTAAATATTAATTTTTCTTGTTATTTATATATTATTATATAATAACATTGCCTCTTTTTACTTATTATTATTTCTTTTAATGAAGGAAACGTTATGAAGAACAACTTTCTATTAAAGAAAAAAATGCTGATGAACTTTTTAGAGATTTGGCAAATTGTCTCCGAATAAACAGGTTTATAAATGTTAAAAAATCAAAATCGACTAATAAAATAGTAAATAAATAGAAATTATTTTATTAACTATTTTTTAAGGTTTTTTTTTGGATTCATAATATTTTTTGCACAAATTGTAGAGACCAATTAAAAAGTGTTGAAGATTAGATTATTTATTATTATAATGAAAATTTACTTTTTGCTATTTTCGAATTTTTTGTTATTTTTTTATAAAAATAGATCATCAAAAAAGTTTGAATTTGATATTAAATTTTACTTTTTTAACAGTTTTGAATATTTTATTATTTTTTTTAATATAAACAAAACTGGCCAATTATAAAGTAGCAGGTTAATGGATTTGAGAGTGACCAATAAATAGAAAAAGTTTTCTATATTAAAATTTTCATTTGTTATTACTTTAAACAAGATTCCATAATTTACAATTTAGATCAATAGAATTAAGTATAGCAAAACAGACCAATTAAGAGAGAAAATTCTTTTTAGTTTCACTGATTTATATTGTTCTTTTAGAGACCAATAAAATTAGTACACTGAAATCAGCATAGACCAATAAAAGTGACTTAATATTATACGAAAACCGATATTTGAATGTGTTTTAAACCACCAATTGCGTAATAACTTTTTATTAAAAAGTATTATTTCCAAACTTGGACTGCGGATAATGAGATCGCCCGTTATGACTGGCTACTTAAATAAGTTGGATCTTATATGCGGAAGTGACGGCCGTGTTGGGGTCCCACTCAAGCAAAATGAGGACGGCGAGCATATGGTGGTGGTAATTGTTTGGTGTGCTTTCATGTGGTTGGGTATAATCCTTTTATCTTATTTATTTAGGTGTAATCTGATTGTCCTACTTTTAGTTTATATTATTTTTCTATGCTCTATTTTTTTTGATGCCCACATACGTAATCACATGTTTGCTGTATATTATTATGATACAGTAATTTTGTTAACAGCAATAAATTTATTATAAAACTATTGGTTATATACCACGTGGTTTTGTTTGGGTTGCTTTTGGACTAATTTCTCTGTAAACTTTTTTATTGTTGGATGGTAAACTATTCGTTATCCTCCACCGTGTTTATTGTTTTTAGCATATAAATATATTTAAGTTTAAAAAATTAAACCTATTCTACGATTGGTCAACTGTCACGTGTAATTATATCTTTGTAAATTTAATAATTTTATTGGCCAAGCCCCCACTTGTTTGGCATTACCATATTCTTTTGCCCGATTAGTCTGCTATCACCCGGTTGCGCTACTTTATTAATTATCATTAAATTTCTGAAGCCTCTAGTGGTCGATTGCCACGTTACCTTTTCTATTATTTTTAAACATAGTGATTAGGAGTTTTTTTGTAATTTGCTTATTATTAATTTATTTTCGCATAAATTTTTTAGCTTTATATTTTTTTCTCTATTTTTATTATATTAATATGCTTACAAACTTTTTGACTATGATATTTTATATTTTATATGTCACTTTATGTTATTATTATTGTATATAATTATAACTTTATTAATTTTTTAAAGTAAATTTTTTTATAAGTTTTATGTTATTGTTTAATACAAGAATTATTATTATAAAGTAAACTTTTATTAATATTAACGTTGATGTTTTAAAAAAAAATTATAATTATATAAAATAATACTAGAAAACTTTTTATTACTTATGTTATTATAACAGTAATATAATTTTTTTATATTAATTTCTACTTTTTATTGTTGTGCTTATCATTAACTTAATATCTTTTTAACATTTTATTATTAATTTTATAAGAATTGTAAGCACAACTTTTTATATTATATTTATTTTTTATTTAACATTTATTTATTTATGGTTATTATTATTCTTCATAACTATTATTATTATTCCAGAATCCGAAAGAATGTTTAATAATACCGGAAGTTATGAAGTTGCTTGCTTGTGAGTTTGAGGTTTTCTATATTTCTTTTTTTTTTAAAAATATTGTTTGTCCTTTTACTCTTTTTCTGTAATTACAAATTAATAAAAAAAATTTTTATTACAAAAATAAATATAAAATTTATGTATTATTACTTTGTATGTATTAGTAATATACTTTTTATTATTCTTAAAATAATAAATTTATTATTATTATTTATTTGTAACCACTATTACTTGTATATTAATTTTTTTTTACTTATTCTATTTTATATTAAAAAAAATTAATAAGTTTATTAATAGTAAAACTTACAATTTTTATATAAAATATATATATTTTTTATAAATTATTAATTAAATTATTTTATTATTATAACTAATAAACACTTTTTTATATATAAAATATTCTTTTAATTATTTATTTATTACGTTATATTATTTTTAATTTTTGTTTATTATTATTTAAGCAATTATTACTTTAAAAAAAAATTAATTATTTTAATTTTACGTTTAAAATACAAAATTTTAATTAAGTAAAAGTAAAAATTATTAAATTAATTTTTATTTATTTATAAATAAACTATTAGTTATGGACTTATTATTAATATTTTATAAAGAAATATATATATATAATTTTTCTGTTTATTATTATTTATTTTTCTTTATTATTTTTAAAACGTCTTTTTTATAGTACCAAAGTTTTTATTACTTTAATTTTTTAGAATCTAAAAAGTTATAATCAAATAAAATTTATAAATTTTGTATTATAAATAAATTTTTAAATGTTACTTTTTATTAATAATATTTATAAAAAATATTTTTTTTATTTAAAGATATTCCGATATATAATATTTTATTGAAATGATTTTTTTATATTTTTTTTTATTTTTATATTTTTTTGCTATTAATAAAATACTTTTTTTGAACTTTTATGCTTATAAATAGTAATAAATTAAAAATTTAAATATTTATACAGAATATTATATATATTTTTCTATTAATTTTTAATTATTTTACTTTTTAAGAAAAAAAATTATATATGAACATTTTTTTATTAATGATTATCGATTTTTTATTTATATTATTTTTATTAATTTTGCACTTTTTAAACTATAAAATAGTAATAAAAAGTTATAATTTAATACAAAATGTTTTATTTCTATTTTTATAATAAAATTATTACTTATTTTTTTTTACTTTTTATTAATATATTGTGAAAAAAATTTACATGAAAATTTTTTATTAATTATTAATTTGTTCTTTGTATTATTTTTATATGATTTTTTTTCTTTTATTTAAAAATAGTAATAAAATATTTATTAATAAAATAAAAGTTATTATATTAATAAATTAAAAATTATTTTACATTATTAAAAAAAAATTATATTTAAAAATTTTTTATTAAATATTTTTTGTTTGTTATTTAAATAATTATTATATAAAATCTTTCTACTATTATATTAGAAATAGTAATAAATACAAAATATTTTATTTTATTTTTCAATAAATTAATTATTTTTTATCAATTTATTTTAAAAAAAATTAAATATAAAATTTTTCTATTAAGTAATACTTATAAGTAATTTATATATTTTTATATTAAATTTTTTACTTATAAATTAATAATAGTAATATAATATTTATCAATATAATAATGTTAAATATTAATACTAGATTTTTTATTTTTATTTTTTAATAAATTATTAATTATTTTCTCTTTTTATCTTCTGAATAAAAAACAATTTATATAAAAATTTTCTATCATTTCTTATTGATTTGTTTTTATATTTTTTTTTATAATAATTTTTTTACTTATTAAATTAAAATTAGTAATAAAAATATTTATTAGTTATTCTACGCTTTGTTATTATATTTAAAAATTCATACATGAAAATTTTCTTTTTTATATTATTTAATTATTATTTATATTATTTTATAATATATTTTATAATTTTTTATATTAAATTTTATAAAAAATATTTTAGTTTTAAATATTATTTATTTGAAATTAGTATTATTAAAAATTTTTTTATTGTTAACTTTTTTATTTTAAATTAAAATTAGTAATAAAATAAATATTCTTTACAAAATAATTAATTTTTATTATTCAATAAACTATTAAACAATACTTTATTATAAATTAATAAATTTTTTATATATTATTTATTTGTAATTATTATTTTAACAAACAAAATTTTATTACCTTAAATTTTGAATGACTATTAATTTATATAATTTTTACGTATAATGATAAAATATTTATTATTACATCCGATTTATAAAATAACTATAATTTATATATATTACATTAATTTTTTTATATATTAAAATTTTTTATTATCCGATTTTATTTTTGAATATATATTCTTTATTATTATAAATTTCTTTACTATTTTTAACAAATTATGTTTTTATTACTTTAATAAATTTTATTAGTAACATAAATACAAAGTGTATTTTTTTATTTATTTATTGGTATATTAAATATTTTACTTTTGTTATTTATTAATTTTATTATTAATATTAATTATTATTATAGAAAATTTCTTTACTTTTTTATCACAGAAATAAAAATTTTTTATTTTTTAAAAAATTTTATTTATAAACAAAAGTTACAATATTATATAAAATATATTATTTTGAACAAATTATTCATTATTTTACTTATTAATATTTTAATAATATTTTTTATATACAAAATGTTTGTATGTTTATTATTTATTTGTTATAAATATTATTTTTATTAATTATGAAAATCTACATGTTTTTTTTATTTTTATTATATTATCACGTTTTTCTTTCAAGTTTTTTAATAAATTAATAATTTTTATCTATTTCTTTTTTATAAACTTTTATTATAATTTTTTTTGTTTCTTAAAATTTTTTCTTATAACTTTTTACATTATTATTAATAATTTTAAATTTTATTAACTTTTATTATTCTCTTTTAAACTTTTCTTTAAAACTTTTTATTAAATTAATAATAATTTTTATTATTACTATTCTTATTAACTTTTATTCTTGTTATTTAAAATTTTTCCTATAAAACTTTTTATTTTATTATTATTTATAATTATTCTTTATTAACTTTTAATGCTTTCTTTATACTTTTATTATTATTTATAATTTTCATTTATTATTATTTTTTTTATTTTTAATATTATTATTTTAAAATTCTTTATTCACAACTTTTATTTTATTTTTATTTATTATTATTTTAATTAACTTTTATTTTTATCGTCAAAAATTAATCTCTAGAACTTTTTATTTTACTATTAATTATTATATTAATTTTATTAACATTTATTATTGTTAAATTTTTTTTATAAAAATTTTTTTATTTTATTTCTTGTTTAGTACTTTTCTTTAAAATTGTTTATTTATTTTTATTTATTATTTTTTTTAATAACTTTATTTTATATTTAACTATTATATTTTATTAACTTTTATTATTGTTATTTAAAATTTTTTATTGATAACTTTTTATACTACTAATCATAATAATTTATTACTATTTATTATTACCTTTTATTATTTTTGTTAAAATTTTTTTTAACCTTTTTATTTTGTAATTCTTTATTATTATTCTTTATTAACTTTTATTACAGTTGTCTATACTCTTTTCTTATGTCTTATCCTATTAGTGTGTATAATTTTATTATTAAATTTTACTGATGTGGTTTAATTTTTTTTAAAACTTTTATATTACTATTGAAATAACTTCTTTGTTACTATTTCTATTAACTTTCATTATTGTTGTTTAAAATCTTTCTTACAACTTTTTATATTATTATTACTAGATTTTATTTATAATTTTTTTAAACCTTTTTTATTGTTTAAATTTTTTCTAAAACTTTATTTATTCAATATCTATTACTTTTTTTTATTAACTTTTATGATTGTTGATAAAACTTTTATAGTTTTCTTTGTACTACTAATATAAAAACTTTTTTTGTATAGATTTTTCTTTATTTATACTTTGTAATGTTTTTTATTATTTTATAATGAATATTTCTTTTTTTATAATTAACATTACTATTAAGGATTTTTAATTGTTATTAAAACTTTTATAATTATTATGTTCTTATTCTTCGATTTCTATTAATTATTTTTATTATTATTTATTATAATTTTAATATTCTTTTGATTTCTAAATTATTATTATAAGTATTTATTATTCTTTAACTTTTTTATATTTATTTTATAAATATTATTTATTCTTGTTTTAGTTCATTAACATAAATTTGGATTATTTATTTATATTATTTAATAAAATAATAATTTTAATTAAATGTTATTATTTTTATTTTTTTATGCTGTGAATATTTATATTTTATATTTTTGGATTTTTATAATTATATTGAGGTTTTTTGTTTTTTTATATGAATTATTATATTGTTTTTTATCAGTTTTTTAAAGTTTATTATTTATTTTTGTAAATATATTAATACTTATTTGTATATACATAAATATCTTCATATAATTTAATGCATATTATTATTTATATAAAATATAATTATATTCAAATATTTTTTGTTTTTTTATATTTACTTTTTATTATCTTTATTATTGTTAATATTTATATTATTACTATTATTATTTTCCAATTTCTTTATGAGTATGTATTTTTTATATATTTATATTTTAATATTTTTTTATTTCATATTATATATAATTTTTTTTTAAAACCAATATTATTTAAACTTTGATTTTCTTAAAGTTGTCATACTTTTTGTTCTATATAATTATTATCTTTTATAATTTTTTTTATATTTTTATTAGTTTTTTTATTTTTATACATCATTAATATTAAACATATGAATCGTTACATATTATGGTATTACATTTTTTCATATATTTTTTATTACTTTTAATAAGTTTATTTATAATTTTCTTTATATTTTATATATTTTATTAATGTTATGAACTTTTCTATATATAAATTTATTATTATTATTATATTAATATATTTATTTATTAGAACTTTTTAACGACTACTTCTTATCAAGTTTATATTGAAAAAACTTGTTCTGGCCATTACCAACAGCTTTCTTTGCGCACGAATAGGAATAGTGAAGGTTATTTTATATATATTTTAATAATAATAGTGTTTTTTATGACTAACATTATTATTATTAATAAAAGTAATAAATTTTATAAATAATAATATTAAATAAAATAATATTAATATATAATTATCAAAATAGATAATAAAAATAATATTAATTAGAATAAGTTAATGTTAATATACTAATAATAATATATTTGAAAGTTTTATGTTTAGTGAAGTTTCATCCACAAAATATATCGGCAGAACAGTTAAACGAAGAAAAGTTTTTGCTTAAAACTTTTTTCGAGACTCTAAAAACTTCCAAAAATATTACTATAAAGTGCCTTTTGTTTCAAGTATTTTTATTATTAATATTTTTTTATATATGAATTATTAAGTTCATTATTATTATATTTATTATTATTGTATATTAACTTTTTTTAATAACTCTTTAGAAATTATTATTTATTAATGTATTATTATTGTATGTATTTATTATAATTTATTTAATTCTCATTTAATACATTTCTATAGGAATTTTTATAATTATCACTATTATTTATATATTAATATATTCTTAATTTTTATTCTATTATTTTAAATATATCTATTATAAATTATTATAGTCAACTATTCATTTATAGTATATTTTTATTAATATTTATTATTAAAATATTTCTATATAAATACTGTTATCATTATTATTTGTATTTTTATTTTTTATTTAATTATCAATTTCATTATATTTATTATTTATTTCTTTTTATATTTATTATGAACATATTTTTTATACTAACAATTATTATTATCACACTAATTATTATTATTGTACAAAAATTATTTATCATTTTTATGTAGTTGTTATAACAATTAAATTTTATTTATTATTTATTTATTTGTAATTGTAATTTATTATTATTATAATTACTTTATTGATTATAATTATATATTATATATTTTTATAATTTTTTTATTATAGTCACTATATTTTATTTATTTACTTATCACTATTATTATTATCCTTATAATTACTATTATTATTATTTATGAATTTATTTAGTATCATTATATTTTATACTTTAATATTAAATGTACTATTATTGTTATTTCTTAATATATTATTTATTACTATTTATTTTAATTATAACAGTTTTAATATTTTTTTTGCTTATTATGATTTATCGTTTTAAGAATTTATTATTATTAATATAATAGTGTCTTTTTATAAATGATAATTACTTTTATTTTATTATTATTTACATTTATTTCTTTTATATTTTTAAATACTTTTTGTTATTATTATACAGAAACACTTTTTTTTATAAACTTTTATTAATAATAACAAAGCAAACTGAGGACTCTTCTCCTGCGAATCCCGCAGAATTTCTTTACGGCGAGTCTTCTTTTCTTGTGGAAAATTGGATGGACTTAAAGTTTGTGTTATTATTATTATTATTAAAATTTCTTATCAAGTACATATTTTATTGTATTAAAGTTTCTATTTATTTAATATTTATAAACTTTATAATAAATATTATTACAAATATTATAATAGTAAAAACTTTAAAATGTTTTATTATTATTTTTTTGCATATTACAATTATATATATTTTTTTTGGAAATTCAATATTTAGAAGTTTTTTATATGAAAATTATTAAGTATTACTGAATATTTTAATTTTAAAAACTTTAAAATATATTATTATTTTTCTATATTTTAATTATATTTATTTTTTTTTCTTTTTGAAATCTTTTTACTTTTAAAGTTTATATTAACTTTTTGTATAAAACTTATTACTAAATATTATTAGAATATTTTAATTGTAAGAACTTTAAACTGTATTATTATTTCTAATATTTATTAACTTTTTATGTGGACATCAAAAAATATTAAAATACTTAATAATAAAAACTTTAAAATTTTTTATTATTTCTAATTATATATTATATTTTTTCTTTTAAAACTTTTTATATTTAAGAGTCATTAAATTTTTAATATTTAAATATTTTAATAGTAAAAACTTAATTTATTATTATTTTTATTTTTATATTTCAATTATTTTTAACATTTTTTTTTTTAAAATCTTTTCCATCTTTAAAGTTTTTTTTATATTTATATCATTTTTAATAACTTTAACTTTTAATTAAAATATTTTAATAGTAAAAACTCTTAAATTTGTTATTATTATTGTACAAATAAATTTTATTCTCATAATGATTTACGATCATTTACTTGATGTTTTTATTAACTTTTTACTTTTTTATTATTAAAAAAAATTATTTATTTATAATATTTATTAATTATATTAACTTTTCATCATGTTTGTCTATTTAATTATAAAAGTGGAACCAATGATAATTTGCTGTATATATGATAGAAAATTATGTATATTATCATTAAATTTTCTTTTATTTACAATAAAGTTTTATGATTATACTTGCAAATTATTTATTTATACTTTTTATAGCTTATTGTCTTTATTATTCCTTATTATTTACTTATTATATTTATTTACTATTGATGTTAATATTATGATATTTACTTTCTTAGTTATAAATATTAAAGAGTTATACTTATATTATTTTTTAATATTTAATCTCTTTCATTTATTATTGATAATTATAAAGGTTTTCACAAATAATTTTTTTTATTAGTTATTATTTTATAAACTTTAAAAAGTTTTCTTTCAATTATTATATATTTATAGACTTAATAATTGATTTTTTTTTAAAAAATATATAATATATATTATTTTTTATTTAAAGTTTTTAATTATTTATTATATTATTTTAATTATTTTGAATATAAATATTGATTTAAATTTCTTATGAGAAAATTGTTATATATTATTAATTTTTATTGGACATATTTATGCTATTATAATAGTTATTGTGACATTTGTTTTAATTTATAGTTATTAATATTTAAAATTTTCATTTTATTCATTATTATTTACTATGCTAGTTTTTCTAATATATTTAGTATTAATATAACATTATGATATATATAATTATTATAACAATATCTAGTAAATAATATTTAAAAGTTTTTATTTTTTTTATTAATCTACTCATTTTTTATTTACAATTATTTTCATTAACTTTGAAAGTATTTTATTTTTTATTATTAATATTAAAATATTAATTTTTTATTATAATTATTAATTATTATTTATTTATTAGAAATAACATTAATTTATTAAAATTTTCTTTATTTATAATATTACTTATTAATTATATAAATTATAAAAATTAATTAAAAGTATTTATTTAGAAATTATTATTCTATATATAACTTTTTATATTTAAGTAATAATTAATGTAACTCTACTATTAATCACGTGCTTTGTTTCATTATTTTTTATCATTTTTACTGGCAGATTTCAAGTTTCAATTTCTTCTTTGTTCCCGCCAAATTTTTCGGCAACTACTCATCTGTAAGTTATTGTTATTATTATAATTATCATCATTACTATCTATAGTTAATGTTGTTATTATTTTAAAGTTTTTATTATTAGTGGTTTTATTTTTCATTGTTCCACTTATTTATCTTTATTATTATTTATTCCCCATTGTATTTTTTATGTATACTTATAATTATTTTAATTTTTTAAAAACTAATTTTTCTTATTATCATTAATTAATTTTTTTTACCACCTCTTACAATTTTTATCTATATTAATAAGTTATTATTGTAAAAAGTTAAAATAAATATTTAAATTTATATTTCTGAAAGATTAATGGAAATTCTTGATTGGTGCTCCGCGAGAAAATATCATTATATTTTTGATATTTTCTGCGGTACTGGAATTCAAGGCCTTTCATTGGCTCCAACTGTTATGAAAGTTATAGGGATTGACGAATCAAAGGAAGGTTTATTATTATTATTATTATTCATATTATTATTATTATTATTTAATTGGTAGCTATTGAGGAAGCTGAACAAAATTTAGCAGTCAATAAATATAATAACGTACAGTTTATTCATGGCGTTGTTGAGGATGAATTGCCAATCATATTTAAAAAATACGGCCACATGGAGTCCATTGGAATCGTTAATAGACCAATGAGCTTTAGTTATTATTCTTATTTTTTTATATTTTTTTAAGAAAAATAATTTTATAAATATATGAAGTTCTTAAAGGGTGATATTTTTTTTTCTATAAAATTTTTTATAAAAACTTCATTTCTATAATGGAATTATTATAACATGATTTTATTTAATTATTATTATTATCATTATAATTATTACAAAAATATATATAGAGAAATATTTAATATTAATTATAAAAATATGATTACTATCAAAAACATATAATAATTAATTAAAAAGTTTAATATATATAAAAAGTATATTATTTATAGTAAATATTATTTTTTGTAATAAAGCAGAGAATAGTTATTATTTTTGAATATTATTTATATCTTATGATTATTATATTTTATTAACTACAATATTATATTGAATTTTAAAAATATTCTATATATATATTATTATTTATATTTTTTAAAAACGCTAAGAGATTTTATAAAATAATAAAATTATTTAACTACGATAATAAAGAAGAAATGAAAATAATATTATCATTAAGAAGTTATTATGTTTACTATAAATATTAAAATTTTAAAATCTTATTTTTATTAAATATTTATTTAATATTATTACTTTTATTTTTAATTATAACTTTACTTATTATTTTTTTTTAATACAATTATAAAAATGATATTTATTATTTATTTTTTTCCTTATTATTATGACTGTCAATATTATTACATTTTATTCATATATATTCTTTTTTTTTCATACATATTTTTTATAACTTATTATTATTATATATTATTTCTTCTTCTATATGTTACTATTATATTTCTCATAGTTGTTAATATTATCATTTATAAGTATAATTATTATTATATTTACTTTATTTATTTATATATTTCTGTTTATTATATATTATTACTATATTTCTTATAGTTGTTAATATTATTATTTCATAGATATTAAACTTATTTATTTGATATAAATCTTTATATAATACACAATTTTATGTTTATTCTTGTTATTTCTACTATATATTATTATTATTATCAGCTTCTTCTCTATCGCGTATCATCCGGAGCAGCGCTATCAAACGTCTCGTTTATATTAATACTTTTTCACGAAATATAATGAAGGACATCGCGTGGTTTGTATTTTTTTTAAATTCTTAAAATATTTTTAGTATTATTTTTTTAGTGAATCTTTTATAAAGTTATTATATTTATATATATTATTTGTTATTATTTTATTTTACTTTAATATTTATTAGTATTTTTATAAAGTAAAAAATATATATAATAATTTCATTTTTTTAATATTATTTATTATTATTTTCTTTAATTCTTTCTAAATTTATAAAATTTTTTATTGACAATAATTATTGTTCATATTAATTATTCTATTTCTATTTATTGAAAATTTTAATATTTAAATTATATTAACTGATATCTTTTTAGGCTATTTTTTTGTTAATTATTTTATTATTACTAAATAAAATAATAATACTGAAGCTTTAGTATAATATATTTATAATTCTCATTATTTTTTTTAAAGTTTTTTATATATTTATATATCTTTCGTTATTTTATTTTATAAAACCTTTTTTTATCATTAATAATATTTTTCTACTATTAAAAGTATACTATTAAAAATATATTAAATTAAGTTTTTATTATTTTATTATATTTTTTTTATTTTATATTATTTGAAATATACTTTTTAACTTTTATATATTTTATTTTATTTAAATTTTTTTTAACTTTTATATTTTTTTTGGAATTTTTTATATATTTATATATTTTTTCAACATCATTTTATTGTTAAGCGTTTTTTAGTTAGGTTTTTTATTAATATTATATTTTATTATTATTTACTTATATAATATGTTAAAACATTTATTAAAGTGATAATATTTATTTTTATAATTTTCCATTATTATGTATTTTGTTCAACTTTTTTTTTTTTAATATTTTTATTATTATTATTAGAAATATATAATATTTTAAAAAATATTTTATAAAGTAATAAAAATATTGATATTATTATATATTTTACATAAAAGAAATAGATTTAAATTTTTTTATTTTTATTATTAATATAAATTTAATAAACATTTTATATATAAATTTTATTTTATTATATTATTATTGTATACTGCTTTTTTATTATTATACAACTTTATGTAAATTTTTTATATTTTTATAATTATTATTCTTATTCTAATAATATTTACTTTTTTATATTAATATTTATTATTTTTTTGTTATTATTACAATATTTTTTTACATCAACAATTTATTTCTATAATTATAAAATTTATATATATTATTATTGCTTATACTATTTTTTTTAATAGTTGTTATTATATATTTATTATATATAATATTTTTTATTTAATATATTTTTTATTATTTGTAATTTTTTTTATAAAATTATTAGATTTTCTTATATATATATATTTTTTTCTCGTTTGATAAAAACTGTTTTTTATGTTAATATAATTTTTTACTCGTTTTATTATATATTTTATATAATAATATTTTGATAAAAAAATTTTTAATCTAAAAGAGTTTTTAATACAATTTTTTAATGTAATATTAATTTTTTCTTTATATTATTATGACATTTATTTCATAGTTAAATATATTTTTATAATAGTTATTATAATATATTTATTATATATAATATTTAAATTTCTTTATATTGTTATAATATTTCATTATAATTTAATGTTTTTATAAAGTTTGTGTCAAGATTTTGCCGTGAACTCAAAGCCATTTAAAGTAATGAAATATCGAGCTTTCGATACCGAGCCGCACAACCCGAACTTTGAAGTTGCCGTTTTATTGGAGCGTTTTTAAGGACTAAAAAAAATTTGTTTTTATTTTCTTTTTTAAATATATTTAATTGGTTCTTAATATTTATAATAAATTTATAATATTTTTTTTTAGTTTTTTATATTTCTACATAAATCTTGCGTTTTTGTATTATAATAAATTTTTTCCTTCATTTAAAATATAATAAGCATATTTTTTAATTAATAATATTTATTATTGTAATAATATCTAAATTTTTTAGTTTGTGATAAACTTTTATTACTTTATTTATATAGTTCTTATTTATAAAATATTTACAGGGTTTTTTAGGTAGAGAAAGAGAAAGTTTCTATTATTAAACTTTTTAAGGAAACTTTTTAGTAAAAAAATATATTAGAGTTAATATAAATATATTAAAAAGAAATATAATTTTTTTTAAAATAGGAATTAAAAAAAAATGTTACAATAATATAAGTTTGTAATATATGATTATTTTTAAAGATTTAAAAAAAAATATATTAATATAGAAAGTTTGTAAGAAATAAATATTATATAAACAATGAATAATAATAAAATAATAATATATAGTTTGTATATAAGAAATATTATATAAAGAATATATTAAGAATACTAATTAAAAAAGTTTTTAACTAATAAATTTAATGTAAAGAACAAAAAAATTATGAAAAGTTTGTATTTACAACTATTATATAAAAAATAACAAAATTATAAAATAATAATATAAAAAATTAATAATTAATTATATAAAGAATATTGAGTTCTACTATTATAGAGAGTTTGTAAAAATTTTATGTAAAGAATACTGAAAATTTAGAACAGAAAAAGTTTTATGTAAATAAATTTTATATCAGAAATAAGGGAAACAAAATAATAAGTCGGAATTAATTCTGTATACCAAGTGGTACATAAACATATGTCATTATACTACACATCCATACCACGTGCTTACCTGTTTATGTACCACGTGATATCGCACTTGTTTTAATTTTTATCCAACATTTAGAAATATTTCCCTGGAGATGTAAACATATATCCCCAGCAGGTCAAAATATAAGAAGTTATAATCAACAAAATATTTATAAAAAATTAATTAACCTACGAAACTTTTGTTTTAAATAAATATTATATAAGGGATAATAAGATTAAAAGAGAAATATAAAAAATCTCATTTTTTTGTAATAAAAGAATAATTTAAGTTAAAATTAATATTAAGTTTATTATAAACAATTTAAAAAAATTTATAGTTTTATAAGTTTTCATTATATAATAATTATAAAAATTATGAGATAAATAATCTAGTAATTGTCATAATAGTTACATTTTTTAAGGACGGCAATGCTTCTTTTAACGCACGCGATTATTATGTTTTTTGAGACCTTCCGATGGAAACAGTGGAATTTGAAATAATTTCCAATGAATTTTTTTTAATAAAATTGCTAATGAGTTTTTTTTTAATAAAAATACAATTAGTGTCGGATTGACCAATAGTATTATTGTGGGAAAAAGAGGTGCGTATAAATAAGCGCAGACAATTTATTTTAATAGTCAACTTATATAGCTTTAACAAATTATCACTTTAAAAAAAAAAATTAAATTCCGGGTATTATTAAAAACCTTAATAAAAATGTTTAAATGTGGAACGATGAGGAATTTTACTAATTAATAGTTACACTACGCGCAAACATTTATAATAAAAAGAATATATAAAATTAAATGTTGCTTCTTTTTTGTTTGTGGTCCATATATGTGCTCTTTACTAAAATACCATAAGAGTTGTTTGTCTAAGCAACTTTTAAAGGGTCTCTAAATCGAGTAAGTTTGACGACATACAATCTACCGAATCGCAGATACTCTTTACAAAGTTATTACGGTGTTAAAAAGTATTAGTAATAGTTTTTTTCTTCTTTAGCTAAAGAGCCTTCTACTTTGCATTTGGAGAGTCTGAAGACGAGGTTGCTTTTTTAATTTGAGTAGCCGGTAGGGATACCAGAGGATAGAATCGTTTAGGAAGTGTCGTTAGTCAAGTCATAATTGAATGGATAAAGTGCGATTTTGAAATTTTCTTTTGTTGTAAAAAAATCATTTTACTAAAATACTTTTGGAAGATGTTAGTTTAAGCAAACTTTAAAGGGACTAAATTTTTCTTAACAGAACTGGATTAATTTAAAAGTTTAATCTTAAACATAATTATGAAGGAAAAATAGTTAAACTTCATAGATAATAGACAAGTTCATATACCGGCTAAATTCTGGAGGAACTTAGTGTTATGCACTATGCTGATATCTTTATGATACAAAAATATACTTACATAAAAGCTTTTATCATTTTTATACATCGCTTTCATTTTTAGATGTGTAAAATATATTTACTATTAAAAAGTTATAAAGATATTTATATCAAAGTTTTTTTTTAATATTTAAAATTTTTATTTTTATTTATAAGAAGTTTTATTTCTTTTTACTTGAAAATAATATAAATGGCATTGGTGGGACTATTTTTACAAAGTCGATAAACCCTTTTTTAAAGTAAAAGGTCTATCCGTTTAATGACCAAAATTACCTCAAAAGGTTTTATAAAAAAAAAAAAGTTGTCGGCTTTGTTATACTCAAAATTTACATATATTTCTAAGTTTTTAACTTTTTATAGTACCCAACTTAAAAAAGAACTTGTTATTTTACTTTAAGGAAATATTAAAGCTCTACAAGTATCATTCAAAAAAAAATTTTTTTTTATACATTTTTATTTAATACTCGTATAAATGATTTTCCTGTTTAAGTTTACTTAACTATTAAAACAAGTAAGCAAATATTTAGTAAAAAACACACTTGAACATTCTTCATATATATATATATATATTATTTAATAAGACTTTAAAGAGTGCAAACTTTTAAAAGATGAGTAATAATTACAGTAACTGTCGAGTGTTAGTTTAATACTTTCCTTTGATGCGTTTAAGAGTTAGAAAAGTCGTTATGAAAAACTTACAAGGTATTGGAGGTATTTAAGGTGATGAAAGCACTTTATAGTAAAAAGATAAAATCTAAATCTTTTCAGGAATGACACTCAAGTACATTAATAGTTGCAACAATTAAAACCACTTTAACAACATATAATTATATATTAATATAATTAAAAGGTGTTTATAATAAATATGGTCGGTATAGTCAATAATAAGAATATATATTTTTTAGTACATTAGAAAAATAATAAACATACCAAGAATAATAATATATCAATAAATAAAAAATCTTGTAAAATTTTATAGCACTGTATTTAGGTTTAAGAAAAGTTTTAATAATAACAAAAAAGTTTATTATATAAATGATATTGATAAATTTAGTTACATAACCAATAAACGAACGGAACCTTCCGAAAAAAAAATATAAGGAATTTAAAAACTTGAAAACAATTACAATCCTTTCTAAACAAAGATACAAGTCAAGCAAATTTTTCTTCTTTTATAAATGATAATTTCTTTATTTTTTTAATAAGCTGGTTTTTATGCTATAAAAGTTAAAACCTTAAAAAGGCAAGTATAAAAATAATTCAAGCTAATATGAATAAATATAAATTAAAGGTTTAAACCTTCGTTAAGATGCTAAACTTTCATATAAATAATATTTATTATAAGTTTTCTGGTTAATTCGAGAGATTCGTTTTAAACTCTTTGTATAAAAGGATAAAAATTTTGCAAGTAATTTAATGATACTAAAACTTATTAATGCGGTTAAAATTTGAAAAGAATTGCGACTTGTGAGACTGTTGCTTTAACAAATTAAACTTTGAACCTTATTAAAAGAATTAAATAAAGTAAAATCAGAGCATTTTATTCTTACATAGCTGAAGCACTAGAAAATAATATAAGTACTCTACGATGCCACCACATTCAATGTGAAAAACATTAGCTTTTTAAAAATTACTTAAACGTCCTAATATTTTTATTAAAATTTAACCACGGCACTGGTGTTTGCAACGATATTTATTACACTCCATCTTATTTCTTGCGGTCGTCTTTAGTTAGCTCACTCATTAAGCAAATGAAAAAAGATTGATTTAAGGTTCGACGGCGCTCTTTTGCAGAGCTTCATCATAAACTTCAGCTGAGTTATACAAAGTAAGTGATTTAAACTCCAGACAGTGTACTATTATGTTATGGAGAACTAGCTCAACTCTCAGAGAAGTATCGTAAACTGCTAATATTTCCAAGCTATTTTGTAACAATTCTACTATTAGATGATTCCAAGCATCTCGAATTTACGTTGCAAAAAATGGTCAAAGTGCAATGCGTTTAGTCAAAAGTTAATTTCATTTAAACCTAAAAGGGAGGGGTAGAACTGTAAAATTCTATCTATAAACGCTCGCTGGTACTTATCTTGTAACAGAAAGTGAATTTTTATTAACCAATTTTGGATAAGTTTATAGTAACTTTGAGGCTTAGAGTAACACAGCTGAACTAGTGTCTTCAAACAGTCACAAAGTTTTGAGGTAGTTCGTCGCAAGAAAACTTCGGTTCCTTCCAAAGCTCATCTAGTCTACGTAATAAATTCTACTCTAACTATGAGAAGGGCATAATAGCTCTGGAGAAACTCAGACACTACGATTGCTGAACCATCCTTCCCTGCTTAGGGAACGCCGTCCTTCCAAGAAAAGGTCGAGTAAAATTTAATTTAAACCGGGATGAATTTGCGAAATACTTTTTAATAAACATTAAGTAGGCCTTCAAAAAAATTGGTTAGGAAAAAAAGCACCTTTTTTTCTGAGGCGCCCTAGATTAAGCAGTCATTCAAGAAATGAAACCTTTAATAAATCAGATATGCGCAAAATTTGAAGCCCAAGAAGTTTTTAACCCCAGTAGGCGTCCTGCAGCTCACAGCATGCTAGCCTTCTTCGACCTGCGCAAGTGAGTCACTCGCAAAGCGCTGCCGTAGTGTTTTGGCAATTGGACGTCTCAGCATTACTAACAAGGTAGATATCTCGCCCAACCTCAGTAGTTGCAAGGATTGTAACAACGCTAATAAGGTCAT